AAAGGAGCCTGGTTACAATTAAGTACAGGAAGGATATTAAAACTTTCATAAGATATTTATGTAAGCCACAACAGAAGAACAAGAGCAAAAGAATAATTGGAACCACATACAAACCCACTTCCTTGTTATTTACCAATACCATCTAAGAACACTGTTTAGATGCTGACATTAGACAATCTTGAATGAACAACTTTAAATCACATTAAGTCTAAAAGAAAATCAAAAGAATTTTATGACAAGGGTTAAAAGTTTATAGCCTTGAAACTACAAAAAAAAAAAAAAATTGGTGCCCACTACAAACCACATCCCGGCAACCATTATGTCTCAGCAATGAACTACTTAAAATGGTTTTGTTGTGGTTGAGGCAATCATCTCTGAGTTAATAATTAGCTACTATTCAAATCAAGTATAATTTGTCTATTGTATGTTGGTTCACTTTTAAGAGAAGTACAAAATTTCATTTTTAGCAACAACACTGAATGTTATAATCATTCATTTGTTATCCTATGCAATGCAATCAAAACAAGTAGAAAAGCGTGTTTCTGGCACTGCATGAAATCAGTCATTTCTCAGACAGCTGAAAAGCTGAAATTAAGTACAAATGTTATATGCTGAATCTAGATGAACATTTATATATAAAAAGATACTTTATAAAAAGGTGAAGTTTCCTATTATACAACTTTGAAAAGTATCTAGAAATAGCTCCTCTCATTTACATAAATGAGATCTTAATCATTTTGTGGTTTGGTTGTTGAACTTAGAATCTATAATGCTATTTTAAATTGAAACACAAAGTGAAATTAGTCAAGATTTCTCTACTATGAAAAGGTGTTAGTCTGCTAATAAACAGCTGTGTCAATAAGCAACTTTTAAATCTCAGCACATTTCTAATACTGTGAAATGTTTTTCAATAACCTAATAAAATTAATGCTCATCATCAGTAGAATACATTCTAATCTAGAATGTATTTTTCACATCTTTAATTGCATTGGATCCTCAAAACAACCCTGTGTGCTAGGATAGCATTAGTGAATTCTCCCCCTTAACACCCATTTCCACTACTCTAGCCGAAGAGTAACCACATCACTCTATGGGATCAACCTCTCCCAGTCTCAGCCATATGATTTGGGTACAATTAAACTCATCCTAATACCAGGTATGGCTTAAGCAAATTTGCCAGTTTTGTCTTTCAGGTCTCATTAATCAGTTTAGAATTATCACTAAACTGACCACAGTAAAATACAGTGTTGTTTCCTGAGACTTCTAAGAAAGGGTACTTTCACTTTCTTTTCTGAGAATCAATAAGATTATGAAAATTTCCTCAATTACATGGGTTAAGAACGTAACATCTTGCAAGCTGACATAATTTTAGCTCCACAGAAGGGAGAATGGAAGGAAACGGGAAGAAAAAGAAGAGTGAGTACAGAAAAGGACTGAAACCAGGAAATGTTTTTCAAAGACAAGCAAGACAAAGACAATGGAAGAAAGAGATACCTAGGCTGGAGAAGCACATATGAGAAGGAGGGACCCCAGAGACAAGGAATAAGGGAGAGGCAGAAAGAGAGAAACAGGTCTGGTTAAAGTGTGTTCAGAAAACAAATATATTCTCACCACCCAATACCTGGCACTTTAGATGGGCCTGAAAACAAGTCATTTTTGTCATTGCTGCCCTTTGAACTCTCTAACACATATGCACAGTTCAAAGGATATTCTGAATAGGGCCATTGTAGCAAAAACACCCAATAGAATGTATAGCTACACAGAAGCCTTTATAGATTTAAACTAAGACTCCTTCATTGGACATATGAGGCCCCCAAACAATCTTGGTCCAATCAACTTTTCTGACACTGTCTTCTGCCATTCCTCATTCATCACCCAAGTTCTAGCATTGTCATCATTTTTTGCCATTTTGTCATCATTTTGCCATGTCAAGAAAACACCTCTCTTTCCCCCAACTTTTATGAGTTCTTCAACACTTAGCTCCCTAATATCTTCACTTCTGCCACATGACTTGGCTATTAAACCTTAAACTGATGTGTCACCTCCCTCTCCTGCCCAGTTAGCATGGGCCCTGGAACATAAAAAGTGCTATGTTAATTAGAGCAGAAAAAAAGTTATCACCCAATAACCCCAATTGCTATTTTTGTCAAGATTCCTAAATGTCAGGTAAAACACTTGTCCCATCAGTTAACCCTCCATGGCTATCTTCACTCACTGAGTCAAAACATGACAGGCAATGTCCAGATGGACTCACTTTGTGCCCTGTTTCTTAAGGCTCTTAATGTACTTTGTGGATAGAATAGACATAGGGAGTCTTGCTGTTTCTTTCCCACAGATGTTCTTTTGTATCTCTGTCTCCTACTTAAATTGTTTTATCCCCTGGATATTCAGTACAGGGAAGACTAGAGCTTGCCTATCTCTCAATGTCACATTTTTTACTATAATAAAGTAAAGAAGAGAGAGTCTGGATGTCAGAAAACAGAGTTTGTGCTATGTCTTTATTGCTCAAGCAGGTCAATTCTCAGTTTCTTTGCAAATAAAATGGGAATAAAAATTCCTCTCAAGTGATTAACTACTGTCAGGATTACAGCAAATGAGAAAAGCGTATAGCTCCAAAACTAAGACATAATAGATTTTATTGTTCAAAGACAGCTAATGAATTTTAGCCAGGCATGGTAGTATATGCCTGTAATCTCAGAATTCTAGGAGGCTGAGGCAGAAGGACTAAAAGTTCAAGCCCGACCATGGCAATTAAGCACTTTAGCAGACCATTTCAAAAAGGAAACAATAGGAAAGGAGATGTAGCTCAGTGAGAAGGCTCTGGGTGAGTTTCCAGTGACATGTGCATATGTACACACACACACGCATGCACGCACGCATGCACACACAAATAGCTAACATACATATATCTCTGTATATGTGAGTTTATACTCATTTGAAACAACTCTGAAAGTGATTATAGTACATTCTCCACCACTCCTGCCCCCAAAGAAACATGCACCTTACATAGTGAATTACTGCTTAGGTACTATGAGAGATTAAAACTCACAACAGATTTGGTCCAAAGCTAAATAATTAATAAATGAGGAACACAGTAAAGCAATCTACATAGGGATCAGGAAACCTGCATAGCATCCTAACTCTCAGAGCTGCTATATAATTTGGGAAGCCTGTTGTAAAATAAAAAATAAGGCCTCTTGTTCAAAAATTATTAAAAATATCAAGGTATAGGTCACTTCCATAAAAATCTTCAGCTTCCATTCTTACTGGGTGTGCAACTTTCATTCAGTCTCTTAATCTATGCCTAAGTGGTTCTTTACAACCACAGGGAAATTAGGGAAGCAAAGAAAGAATTTCAGCCACTTCTCATAACTAGGATCTTGTGGTTCTTTGTGAAGGAATAAGATCTCTCATTTGACAAAATTTCTTTTAATTTTTATAAAATCACTAAAATTCTAATTATGACTCAAAGCTGTTGTTTAAAATTCATACATAATATTTCACCTTCAATTGTGCTGATTTTTTTAACTCCTATACACCTCTGTCATTTTGCGTAAGAGAAAAATTTGTCCAAAGCAGTGTTCCAAGTTTACTATTTTCCCATGTATGCCATTTAAATCTGAAATTCCCAGCTGAGGTCTCTATGTCTAGAAAGTAATTTTTCCCACAGTAAAATGTCTCCTTGTACAAGTTAGATATTTTCTTTTTTATATCCCTGAAAAATTATCTATTCAGAATCAGTTTCAACATATGGTACAGCATCTGGGTCTAATCCAGTAAAAAGGAGGCAAAATGTCATGTTGAGAGTTAGTTAACCCTTTTTTTCCACCAGTTTGGTATTTAGTACATTAACTGATAACTGTCTAGACCAAGGATTTTTCTTCTGAGTCCATGGACATAAGTCTAAGAGAATTAGTTTGAGTGAAAAAAATTTATAGCTTTATTTTCATTAATCTCTAACTAAACTTTATTATATTTTTAACTATGAATGTAGACAAAAAACTACAAGAGTACTAATAGCACCTATGACTTTTCTTTTAATTTGTTTTTAATCATTCATTCATTCATTCATTCATTCATTCATTCATTTGGTGCAGGGTCTTGTTACACAGCTTGGCCGGCATGGTACGCAGTACCAGGGATCAAACCTGGGTCCTTGCGCATGCCAGACAAGTGCTCACAGCACTGAGCTATCTCCCCAGTACCTATGACCCAGTACCTATGACTTGATCACCAATAAATATTATATATTTTTTACATAACATTCATTACTTCAAGTTTCTTGAAATATCATTTATGCTCATTACCTCAAAACTCTAATAGTATTAGACCCACTGATATATCTGGTGGTTTAATGTCAGTAAAAATCATAACACACTATCATAATGCATAAATTTTTTTATATTAGAATAGTTACATTTTATGATAACTTGCTTCCCTATAATCCTATCTGATTTTGTGAATTTTAAAACGCGATTCCAAGGTACTACACTATGAAGGGGATCCATAACACATAAAAGGTGCAGAAACTCTGGTCAAAGAAGTTACAAAGCCACCTGTGGTGCCATACACCTATAAACAGCACCCAAGAAGCTGAGGCAGAAAGATTGCTGCAAGTTCCAAGCCAGTCTGTCCTACAGAGTAAGTTTAAGACCAACCTGAACTGCATAGTGAAACTCCGTATAAAAAAGACAAAAAAATTTTACAAAGCTCTTGTCTCAATAAAATAAGGATAAATGTATTTTTATCTTATAGTATTAATGAAACAATTCTAGTAATTTTAAAACATCTTTAAAATTCTAGTTCAACAATACTATGTAGGTAGCAAAATCTTCATGGTTTACTTATTTTAACATGAAAACAAATACTGTTTATTTTTGGTTGTTTTGTTTCTTATTTTAGTGAGTTTTAACACATGTGACCATAGGATTTAATCTGAAAAAGTCTAGTCCAAATATAGGTTTTGACAACATTGTATAATTTGGTATTTAGATTGGTACCTGAGATGACAGAAGGTTACAATCAATGAACAGGCCTTTTCCAGTTTTACATCTCTGCATCAGTCCGGCCATAATGGCTCCATATGCATACAGACCAGTGGCAAGATCAGTCATGGCCACTCCTGGGCGAACTGGCTCTCCATCCTGATTTGAGGGTTAGGTTGATAAAAAGAAAATTGAAAATTGAAATATCATAGGATTTCTAAAGTATTCTAAATAAAAGAATTGTATATGAAGTATACAAATAAACATACACACACATATACACAATTAAAACAAATTATTGTTGATGGTATGTGTTGATAAGATCTGTCTTTTTTTCTACTTGTTTTTGCTCTTCAAAATAAAATAAAATTAATTATATAAAAAATCAAATTTAAGTAAGTCATCTGGAAACAAATATAACCTATATCTGTTTACTTTTAGACCATTGTTGTTGCTTGCTTATGTCACGTCATAAAAAGAGAATCCCCTTAAACTAAAATGATTACCATTCAAAAATCTTATTTCTATATAAGCAGTATAAGTAAAGTACCTAAATAGCATTTTTTTAAAAAGAGCTTTGGGGCTGGCAAGATAGCTTAGCAGTCTAAAGTGCCGGCTTAGGCAAACTTAGGCAGGCACAGGGGACCGCAGTTCAATCCCTGGCACAGTCACACCAGCCCTGCCCTCAGGGTGGGCTTAGCCAATAAATAAATAAATAAATAAATAGAGCTTTATATTTATTGTCTATTACTATATTTCTCTCCTCAAATTCCACCAAGCAAACTAAATCAAACTCAATAAAATGTGAGATTTTTAAAAACACATATTAAGTCCCTTATTATATTTTTACCTTATTTATACTAAAAAAGATGAATAAAGAATTGAATTGAATTGAAATAAGCTAATTTGCCGATAAGGAGAGAACTAAAAAAATAAGTGCTTTTGTCTTGCTGAGTGAAAGTCTACCACATGGGGAAAAAAGAAAAAAGGCAAAGTTGGTGTAGTCTCTTTATAATTATTCAAATAACTGGCCAATACTTTAATGGTTTTTGCTTTAAAATATATGCATTTTAGTGGGATACCTCTGGTTTAAGATTTCTGCAATGAACAGACCTAACATCTATAGATTATAAGCCATGGGGTACAAGGCATAGGGCATCAGCTATGCATTCATCTAAGTATAAAATGGACATGTTTCATAGCCTATAATGTTCATCACTGTATCAAATAACCTCTAAACTTTATTAAGAATTTTATCTAATGCTGTGAACTTAAGAGTTTTGTCTGTTATACTAAGAAAGAATCTGGGAGCCATTCTTGATATCCAGGACCTTGCTGCTCCACCTGTGTCTTTTTATTGCCTGCATCTTTGAAATATAAATAAAGTTTGGGGCAGTGAGATAGCTCAGCAGACTAAGCACCTGCCTAGGCAAGCTCAGGGACTGGAATTCAATTCCCAGCACCACATGCTACACTAGCCCTGGTCAGGCAAACTGAGCCATCCACCAAGACCAGACACAATGATGTACACCTATAATGCCAGTGCTGGTAAGGCTGAAAACAGGAGGCTCACTATGAGTGAAAGCTCCATAGTGAGACCCTGTACCAAATACATTAAAAAAAAAAGTTTGATGCTGATGAGTGATTCCAATTCATGTCAGTTTGATTTGATAATGCATTCCTTGGCTCATACACAAAGGTATTGGAACACTGCCTGATGCAGCATAAGTTCTTTATAAAAATTACCTATCAACATTATATCAGACAGTTTCTACATTTCACTACTTGGAATTTTGTAAACCCTTTCATTGCAAAAAATATCTAAAAACATTCACATTACTTATTTCATCTGGTTGGTACATTCATTCATTCCTATCCCAACTGGTTAATTCCAGTAGCTATTGAGTCATTTTCACAAACTAAGTTTCCCTTTTCTGCAGCCCATGCATATACCACATTCATCATCTTAAAAGCAAACTAAATAATGTAAAAAGCAAGTGAGACTACCCAATGCCTCAAATGTTTTCCTCTGCTTCTCAACATAACTGTACTCTATATTATTATTGACTGAACATTAAATGTAACAGCTTGAATCAGTAAACATACCTGTCATGGGACTTAAGATTATTTAATGTATTAAAATTAAAGGACAAGTTCAAATTTAAATTTATGGATTTTTAATGCTTACTTTCTTACAAAGTAAGCATAATCAAAATTAATCCTGTATGGTATTGTCTAGAATATACTTTAAAACAAAAATAGTACCTAGAAAAAAGGAGAATATTTTTGTACTGAGAAAAAGAGTTAAGGAATTGGAAAGATATAGAAAATACAAGCATATGTACTCTTAACAATGGAAATAACAAAATTAACCAAAATATGACTGCATAGAGAAAAAAAAACACAATTCAAGAACAAATAATAGGAGAATTCAGTGGGAAAATGTGAATGGGGGATGAAACACCTAAATCAAAATAAGTGATTTAAATTACAGTATAAACTGACCATATCTAACATATGAGAAATATGTCATCTAATAACTAAGTGTATATGCTTCTCAAGTACACAGAAGACACTCACTAGGACAGTTCATATCCTACAGTATAAAACAAAATAAAATATATTTAAAGCAAGTGAATTCATATAAAATATGTGCCCAGCTCAGAATGGGATGAAATTTTAATAACAGACGCATATTTGGGACACTCAAAGTTATATGAAAAAGGACAGGAATGCAGGTTGGTGGAAGAGCATTTTACCACTAAGCATAAGACTTGGGTTTGAGTCCCAGTACAACAAAGATCTAAAACCATAAAATGCAAGGAACATAAAAATAAATCCTGGAACTGGCAATGATTTTGTAAATACACCATACTATGAAAATCCTTCACAATTAGAAATTCTTGCCATTGAAGAACTGTCAGCATGCCAGAGGAATAAGGAAATGAAAACAAGTTATCACTAAATGAGCAGGAAGTCCCACAGAGAACCACATTGTGGCTGTGAAGTGAATGTTTCCAGGTGCAACAGGACACAGTCAGAGAAGCAGATGTGTAGATACAAGGTGCTCAGTGTCCCTTCCACATCTGGAGCTCCATCACCACCTTCCTGCTGTGACCACACAACACATCTGCCTTTTCCTAAACACTAGGCTAAATTTTCTGTCTCTCTCTGTCTCTCTCTCTCTCTCTCTCTCTCTCTCTGTGTCTCTGTCTCTGTCTCTCTGTCTCTGTCTCTGTCTCTCTATCTCTATCTCTATCTCTATCTCTATCTCTCTGTCTCTCTCTCTCCCCCCTTTTTGGTACTGAGTGATGAATTTGGGGCCCAAGATAGTTAGTTACATCCAGTCCCTCTTATTTTTTCTTTTGACAAAGGTCTTGCTAAGGCACTAGGTTTCCCAGGCTAGTCTATAGCCTCCCATCTTCCTGCTTCAGCCTTCTACAGAGTTGTGATTACAGTCATGCACCACCATGCTCTTTAAGTCAACAGGTTTACCATTCAGAATTCTAAGTAAATATGCATTTGAGGAAAAATGGGTGAGTAACCTTCACAAATAGTAGAAATGACCAAGGATCTCATCATAATTTATTGGAAGAAGTAGATTTTAACTTACATGTAGACCTTTAGAAATCAAGTAATACATTTATTTTAGTAA